AGCAGTGTGGGGAGCAGTGTGAGGAGCAGTGTGGGGAGCAGAAGCAATAACGGGGAGCTGGAGGAGATTTTCGGTCTTATAGAAAACACGGAGAAATGTAATTATGCTGAAACATCACACAGAACAATCTCCCTTTTGTCTAAAACTCCTCCTAAAAACTAGGAGTCCACTTCCTGTGACCAGACAGGCACTTCCTGTGCCCTTCCCTATGTACTTCCTGTGCTCAGCTACTTCCTGTGCCCTTCCCTAGCTACTTCCTGTCCCGATATAACGAGCGCCTCGGAGCACTTCCTGTGCCCTTCCCTAGGTACTTCCCGTGCCCTTCCCTAGCTACTTCCTGTCCCGAGGCGCTCGTTACATCAGAGCACTTCCTGTGCCCTTCCCTAGGTACTTCCTGTCCCGAGGCGCTCGTTATGTCAGAGCACTTCCTGTGCCCTTCCCTAGGTACTTCCCGTGCCCTTCCCTAGCTACTTCCTGTCCCGAGGCGCTCGTTACATCAGAGCACTTCCTGTGCCCTTCCCTAGGTACTTCCCGTGCCCTTCCCTAGCTACTTCCTGTCCAGAGGCGCTCGTTATATCAGAGCACTTCCTGTGCCCTTCCCTAGGTACTTCCTGTCCCGAGGCGCTCGTTAGAGCACTTCCTGTTCTGTATCCTCAGGGCTGTGTATCTGCAGTGTGAGATCTCAGGCTCTGCTGCCTCTGACCGCCGGTCTCTGCAGATGTGGGAGGAGATTCGGTGATGTCACTGCTGTGCCGCTCTCTGTTCTCCTGGCTGGAGAGGAAGTTGTACCCAAGGAGCGGCACTGCAAGGATCCCCCTGCTTCTGCGTCATCCATCCTGTGTATCTGTGCGTCCTCCTCCTCTATCATCCCCCCTCCAGTCATCAGGGGAGAAGCACTGACATGCAACGCATAGCCCCGCCTCCACCAAGATGGCCGCCTCCACAGAGAGTGGCAGTGCAGGACAAGCCATGGGAAGTCAGGAACGGGGGCAGGCGGATCACAGGGGATATTGGCCCCTTGCTTCCAGAGTTCTCTTTCATTGCAGTATCACCTCCAGGACACCACGCTAATCATGTGACCCCAGAAATAGGGCCCTAACCCACCTCAGGCACCCCACAACACGTGACTCCAATCCTTATGTACTATAGGAATCCCATAACTCCCCCATCCAGCCGCATCCTTACCCGCTTCTATGGAGCCCGACCAACGGTCCACCATCTTCTGTATCACAATCTCAAAGAGCTCCCCGTCCCTCAAAGGCCTGGAGGAGAGAAAGACGCCATGGAGACCACATTACTAAGGAACTACCACAGCCAATGAGTGCTGCAAGAAAACCAACCCAAGGATAAGGAAGAGGAGGAAACCCCACCCAGGAGGAACAGAGGGAGGGAAAACCTAATGTGAGAGGAAACCCCACCCAGGAGGAACAGAGGGAGGGAAAACCTAATGTGAGAGGAAAGGGAGGAAACCCCACCCAGGAGGAACAGAGGGAGGGCAAACCTAATGTGAGAGGAAACCCCACCCAGGAGGAACAGAGGGAGGGCAAACCTAATGTGAGAGGAAACCCCACCCTGGAGGTAAATCCTAATGTGAGAGGAAACCCCACCCAGGAGGAACAGAGGGAGGGAAAACCTAATGTGAGAGGAAAGGGAGGAAACCCCACCCAGGAGGAACAGAGGGAGGGAAAACCTAATGTGAGAGGAAACCCCACCCTGGAGGTAAATCCTAATGTGAGAGGAAACCCCACCCAGGAGGAACAGAGGGAGGGAAAACCTAATGTTAGAGGAAAGGGAGGAAACCCCACCCAGGAGGAACAGAGGGAGGGCAAACCTAATGTGAGAGGAAACCCCACCCTGGAGGTAAATCCTAATGTGAGAGGAAACCCCACCCAGGAGGAACAGAGGGAGGGAAAACCTAATGTGAGAGGAAAGGGAGGAAACCCCACCCAGGAGGAACAGAGGGAGGGCAAACCTAATGTGAGAGGAAACCCCACCC